TCGAATACCTACAATAACACAGTTTTTTTCAAATCAAAGGCAATTGAAGATACACACCCTCATCATTTCCCAAGGTCCATCACCGACACCAACTACGATGATCGAAAGTGGATACTGACATGCTTGCACGATTGCCCGTCTGGTCGCTCGTTCATTAGTCACTTGACCGTCAGCAATTATTACCAGTATATGGTACTGAAAGAAATCAGTATAAAAACCGAATAAGTTCCGTACTTACAGTACATTTATCTGCGTCGTTTCAATGGAAAAAAATGGAAAAAATGTAAATACCCCTTGAATTATTTATAACACTAAACTGTGGAACAGTGTATAACGCAAACATTTTTGTTGGTCAGCGTAGCAAAAAATGACTCACATCGCTGGCAGCCTGACAAATCTCCATGGCTTGATATATGAGGGGAGCAAAATTTGTAGGTCCACTGAGATCTACAGTTGGCGTTACTTCGTTGTATACCCTGGCAAAGAAATTCAAAACTAAGAAATCAACTTTTGGAAATACTCAAAGTTGGGACTCACTTGAGCACTTCTTCAAGAGATGTGCAGTCACCATTTTGTTTTAGAGGAAAAACACTCCAATCGCCAGTTTTGGCGTCACCAAAGCCAAATACTGGGATGCGACCCGTGCTGGCAAACGGAGCTAGAGTACGACCAAGAATGGTCATTACCTAAAATCGCAGAAATCAAAGTCAGTGAATGGTGATCCTGACGCTGTCATCCTCATCTGGGAACCATAGCAAAAGTCACATAACTAACTACGAACAGTGTCTTGCACTGAAATGTCAAAAACATTATCTAAACTAGTTGGCTGGTCTACTTTGTAACGCTTTTCGGAGAATGAATAATGTAAAAATTAAATAAGCTCCCTTGGTGATGGGTATTCTCAACAAGTCAGACAAAGATGCTTAACCATATGCGCTCTGTTGGTAATAGAACACTACTTCACCTGCTGGTAAGGATTCTTTACGTTTGGATGTATAGTGTGCAGAGATCGTCCGCCAAACGAATCTTCACCTTGGTATTTATTGCTGGCAGTGTAGTCGATTCCTGTGATGTATCAATACATTATGATAACTTTTCTGTGGCGATGTGCCGGCACTTCCTCGTAGCCAAAACATAGCGCTTGAGCAAACTTTTTAAAAAATCAGTTTAGCTTTGTAAATTTTTCTTCGTGGGCGTGGCTGACGCCACGCCCACGAAAAATTTGGGGTCCCAGGCTCGCAAAAATTTTGAGAAGCACCTCAAAAAACTTTTCGGAGTGCGCACCTCCACCCAAAAATATTTCGTCGCGCCCCTCCCCCGAAAAAAATTTCTGGGCACGCCACTGCAATGTACGTACGAAAAGTTTGTTTTGGACCCCAAAGACCCCTCTAGGTCTGCCATTGGGATCAACCCATTTTTTGCCACAAAGTCAAACTGCGCGCAAAGATAAATGTTTTAAATACGGCGATCTCACCGAAAATCATGTTCGTGTTTTCCAGTCCGGCTTTACGCATAGCATCTGATAATGTGTCAAGGCTGTCAATCGTCAGTAGCATCTCCTGCATCGAAGTAACACCCAACACGGAAAGCAGTGAAGACTGCTTTCGTAACTGAAATGGTTAAATAGGATCAAAAAGTAGAGGACAAAGCTCATACTCATTTACAGTGTATGTTAGCTAAAGCAACTCTAATAGATCACCTAATATAGCACATATTAGGCAGGTTCGCCAGTTTCAAAAAATTAAAGTTCCTTTCTTCTCGATGAACTTTCTTTAACTTTTTTTTAAAGAGGAAGCCATGCTTTTACAGT